ATTATTTTTTTAAATTTTTTTATTCAATATTTGGGTTGACTAAGAATTAAACTTTATAATTTTTTTTTCTATAGGTTTATTTTAATTTTATAACCCGGATCAAGAGTTTGATAGGTTGACCAGGGTTGACTCAGCGTTTTTAGGTCCTTTTTTGTTTTATTTTTTTTTAATTTTACTTTTTAATATTAAATTGATTGAGAATTGAGTTTTATAATTTGTTTTAATTTTTTTCTATTGAGATATCCTTGGGCAGCATTTGATATTGTGGTAGCACTTGTTTTTCAAAATGTTTTTTTACTCAGAAATATATAAAATATTTTATTTTATCTTTTAAAATTTATTTTTGACATCAACACATTAAAAAAATTCAAAAATATAAAACAAAAATTAATTTTAAGAAACATTCAATTTTTTGGCCAAACAACCTTTGAGCCATGTTTCCAAACATTACTCTAGTCTCATTATCTAGGTTTGGTAGGTTAATCCAGGTTGATTTGAGTTTTTCTTTTTAATTCACTTTCTCAATCTTATTCCTCAAAATTAGGTTGATTGAAAATTAAGTTTCATTATATTTTTTATTTTCTTTTTACAAGGTTATCACAGTCTCAATACTCAAGTCATGAATTTTATATGTTAACTTGGGTTGATCAATTTTAATTTAATATATTGTCATCTCAATAAATATATTTTTTAAATGTTATCTTGAAAATCTTTTTAGTCGACCTATGTTTTTTTATTCAAATTATCCATGTTGCGTTTGAACTTGCCAAGTTGAACGGGTCACAATGGGTTAATCCCTACACAATTAATTTTTTTTCCTTCTTGAAAACATGTTAGCAATCTATATATATATATATTAAAAAAAAAATAATTTGAGTTGCAGCATAGTACAAATGAATAATCTAGTTAACAAGAACTAATTGAGGAGGGGAAATCATTCTTCCTCACCTCACAAATTAATATTCACTAAAATTATATATTTTTTTTAATTTTCAATCTCATCCTTTAACACTTGGTTTATGACACGACTAAAAAGTTGATGTCTTCTCCCAAGTGTAGGAGTGTCGAAGTAATAAATAACCCGGCAAGACCGGGGTCGAACCACAGGGAGGTTAATTGTACAAATTATAGACAACAATTATAAGCAACAATAATAGCAATAATAACAAAAACAATAACAACAACAACAACAACTATAATAATAGTAGTAGTAGTAGTAGTAGTAGTAATAATAATAATAATAATAATAATAATAAAGAAAGAAAAGAAGAAGAAGATGATGAGAACTTGGAGATGGAAAATTAATGTAAGGATTGAACAATAATAATAACAAATGTCAAGGTTAGAGGTTCCACTAATGGTATATCAAACAAGTATAGTATAAACTCTTATTATTGAATTGGAAACCACATACAAAGGAGGTTCCAATCAGATTATATATTGTTAACATGATTACATTAGTCATCTTATTCAATTAATGCTAATACTTGTAAATCTCGTCAAGCATTCATGATTATAGCTTATGTTAACAACAAATCAAGTTCCTTTCATAGCTCAGGTGTCGGTTATACCATACATTATGGGCTATGAAAGTGCCAAGCATTTGTTATACCAAGTGTTATACAACATAAATCAAGATTAGTCATTTAACAAGTAAAGTATTAAAGAGTGAACAAGATAACAAATATAAAACATGTTAGTATCAAACATTAAAGTCCATATTAAGTTTAAATTATACTTATTCTTACACCATTAGTGTAACTTTTTCACCTTGACATAATTAACTTAGCTAGACATAATGAAAGAAAGGAAAACAAATAAACAAAATAAGAACATAAAAGTTAACTAAGTAAAGGAAAGGCATAAACTTGATATTAATGAAAGTAAAGCATAAACATTACAAAAAATACAAAGAGAGAAAGGAAGAGCATGATCTTGATCTAGAAATCAAGATGCCTAAATGCATGGCAAATGCCTCCTTTTATAGGCCAAAATTGGGAACTATTGATTTGATGACTAATTGATAAGTGGGTGACTAACTTTTGACTTGGTGACAATCCTTATCTTCTCTTGTCTGCCCAAAACGTCATTGATAACGTCAAAATTGGAGCCAGTTGTAAACATGAAAGTTGTAGGAAATTATCTCAGCTTTCTTGTGTAAATAATTCAGCTCATTTGGACTTCTAGAACTCCAGATATGGCCAAAATACTGAACAGTGCTCGGGCTGGAAAACAGATGCGGGCTTCTTTGTTGTTGCTATAATTTGGACTTGAAAATGACCTTTTTAGATCTTGGGCTCCATATGAAAGTTGTAGGCCTATGTCTTACCTTTCCATCCATATAAATTGGAACTAAATCCGAGATATATAGCTCCAGATATGACCCAATTACCGAACAGTGTTCCGGTTTGGATTGCATCGACATCTCTTTTCTAAGTTTGGTCATCTCTTTATCCTTGCAATTTAAGTTCTTAAAGTCATCAATCAATCCTTTCATTTATGTGATAGGCCTGCATTAAAAATAGACATTTACCACAAATTATAGGTATCTTATATTATTAGATACATTATTATAAAACATATTTTAGTTAAGGAGTTATTGATACTTCAAGTGCAAAATGATGATATAAAACCATGATAAAAATGCACTTTTAAGTACTAATCAGTTTACAAGAGACTGAACTTCATATTTTTTTTTTTCCTATAATGTTATCTTAGTATCATGATCCAAGTTACAGGTTTGGTGGATTAACACGACTAACTTGTTTTTTTTAATTATTTTTTTTTCTATTTCTTCATTCGACTATTGATTAATAATTTAATTTTATAATTTATTTTAATTTGCTTTCTATAAATTTATTTTAATATCACGACTTGAGTCATGGATTTGATGGGTTAACTTGATTGACTTTGACGGGTTAATCCCTACATGATTTGTTTTTCTTTCCTTATTTGAAACAAATTAGCAATGTCTAGAAATATTTTTAACAGTTTTTTAAAAATTTCATCTGACTCTCAGTGTAACACATTTAAATAATCTAGTTAACTAGAATTAATTGAGGGGAGGGAATTATTGTTCCCTTCCTCACATATCACTATTCACTGGATTTTTTTTTTTAATTTTCAATTTCATTCTTTAACACTTGGTTTACTAAAAATTGAGCTTAATAATTTATTTTGATTTTCTTTGTATTAAATTATTTTGGTAGTATGACCTAAGTTGTGAGTTTGATGGGTTAACCTGACTAACTCAAGTTTTTTTATCTTTTTTTAAATTATTTTTTTTATATTTGATCATTCAATGATTGATTGAGAATTATACTTAATAATTTTTTTTGATTTATTTTTATAATGTTATTTTAGTTTCATAACCTGAGTTACAAATTTGATGGGTTAACCAACCTGGTTGACTTGGGTCACTTTTTTGGATCTTTTTTTTTTAATATATATTTTTTTAATTTCATACTTTAACATCATGTTAATTAGGAATTAGATTTTATGATTTGTTTTAATTTATTTTTTATTAAGTTATCCTGGTCTAATGCCTTAGTCACTGGTTCGACAGGTTAACCTAGGTTGACTTAAGACTTTTTTTTGTCTTTTTTAATTGAAAATTTTAAGATTTTATTATTCAATATTAGATTAATTGAGAATTATGGTTCATGATTTGGTTTGATTTACTTTCTATAGACTTATTTAGATCTCATGACTTAGATCACAAATTTGAAGAGTTACCTTGAGTTGACCCAAATTAATATAATATTTTGTCATCTTAATATTTTTAAAAATATATTGTTTTGAGTTTTTTTTATCAAACTATATTTTTATCGATCTTCCAAGTTTTTTTATTTATAAAGTCGACCAGTTCACATTTTAATCAAACCCTATACAACTTATAAAATGAAAAAAAATATTATTTTAATATATTTATAAGTAAAAAAATACTTTGAAATGCAACTGTTAACACAATCTTAAAAAAGCCTATAGACATGCATGACCTAAAAGGAAAAAGACTAGGCGTATGTAGTATTTATAAAAAAAGAATAGATAACCTGTTGTATGATTGGTAAATGATGTGTCACCCACTGAAACATTTTTTGTTGTTTGAAAAATCAATGTTGGAATCCAAAAATTCAAATTTCAACTTGTTTTAATTTGAAAAACCCAAAAAACATTATAGAAATCTCAATAACCTAATTTCCAGCCCCAAAATATTCTTTAATAATCTAAAAATTGAGAATAAAATCAAATAATAAAAACCTTAATGAGCCCTTTCACACTTTTTTATGTTTAAAAGACAACAATATCTTTATTGCACTCTTTTCTTAAAAAAAAAATTATTGATTCGATGAATGATTTTTTATAATAAAAATGCGATTGTTCAAAATCTTTTTTTTTTAATGGCTTTCTCTCCTCCACACCTAAAAATCAGGTCATAATAAAAATAAAATTTAGGACTAAAACTTAGAAACTTAAAATTATAGGAATTAAATAAATAAAAAAATAAAAAGGTAAAAGACCATACTATACTTTGTTGTGGATGCAATGCACATTAAACTGCGTCTTGCTTCATATTATTATATGCTACAATACAGAGATGTTTTAGTTAATAGTGTAATGTAATAAAAAAAATATAATAGCATACTGGAGAATTAAATAATTACATAATTATAAGCTGAGCCGTTTGCCTAGTTTTATATTTGTGGTGGTCAGGTTTTATTGACTCGGGGTAAACTGGGCCCAAGCCGATTTTACTCGAGCCCGAGTCATCATGAGTTGGGTTGAATAGTCTACAAACACCAACCTAAGGTGCTACAGATGTGGATCCTAGGCGGGTAAGAAGCCTAACAAGGTCAAATTTTGCGCCATATAAATTAACCATTTCAAAACTGAAGCTTTCTCTCCTCAAAATGGCGTCGTTTTTACTCCGTCGCGCTTCCTGTAGCGCCACCAGGATCCTGTCGTCCGCACTCTCTCTGCCAACCGCCACCGTAATCCCCAAATCGAACCCTAGCCCTAATTTTATCTATCACCACTATGTACTTCACCATTTCGCTCAGTTTTCCCGCCAAAATAAAATTCCTAGCCCTTATTTAACCTTCATCAAGGAAATCTCCACTATTCCAAGCACAAAAGAAGAGAAAGAACAGAAGCGAAACAATGGAGAGTTGCCAAAAAGAGGAGAGAAGTCTTGGATTGATGTCTATTTGCCTAGACAAGTCAGGCCTTATGCACATTTAGCTAGGCTTGATAAGCCCATTGGGACCTGGCTTCTTGCTTGGCCTTGTATGTGGTAAGGATTTGTGTTTTTATTGTGTTAATTGTTCTGGGTTTTGTTTGGTTGCTGAGAAAAGAAAATGAAGGAATTTGAGAAATTTTGCGAAAGTGTTAGGATCTTTGTAACATTTTTACTTTGTTATGTAGGTCAATCTCATTGGCAGCAGAACCTGGAAGTGTACCTAACTTTAAGATGATGGCGTTATTTGGTTGTGGGGCTTTGCTTTTAAGAGGAGCTGGGTGTACTATAAATGATTTGCTAGATAGAGATATTGATACGAAGGTAAGGTTTTTATGAAACTGCGTACTGTATTGTTAAATGAGATACTGATGTTTTCGTTAGCTGTAATTGCTCGTCTTGTTAGTGTATGCAATAAAGTTTGTGAATTTTGGTTTCAATAATTAGGCAAGAGAATCTCCAAAAAATTAGACTAACAGCTTCACCTTTTGAAAAATGTAACTATTTTTGTTGGAATTTTTGTGTGTAGGTCGAAAGGACAAAGCTAAGGCCAGTTGCCAGTGGTCTTTTGACGCCATTTCGAGGGCTTTGTTTTCTTGGTTTTCAATTGTTTTTGGGTCTTGGGATTCTTCTTCAACTGAATAATTATAGGTTAGTGCTGCTTCAATCACGCTTAGAAGTTGCATGTAGTTTGCAAGCTATTCAAATTCAATGTTGTCACCTTGCATTGAGCATGCATAATTATTTGGGTTAACTGTTACTTTATTTTCTTCTAACAGCCGTATTTTGGGAGGTTCATCCTTGTTGCTAGTCTTCTCATATCCCCTTATGAAGAGATTTACATTTTGGGTAAAGATTTTTATCTATTTGATTTCTGTATTCTCATGTGCGCGCAAGTATTTTTTGCTTTTGACTTTTGATGTAAAGTTCAAGAAAATCTGGTGATGACCCTGTTAAATGCAATTTTTTGGTTGCAGCCTCAAGCATATCTTGGTTTAACATTCAATTGGGGAGCTTTACTGGGTTGGTCTGCAGTTAAGGGGAGTCTGGATCCAGCTATTGTGGTACCACTATATGCTAGTGGAGTATTGTGGACCCTGGTGTATGATACAGTATATGCTCATCAGGTATAGCATCATAGCTTAAGGTGATTTTCATTAGCCCTTTATTTTCGAGCTATATCATGCAAGTAAATTTGACTCATAAAAACCATGTAATATATGGTTCCTGAACTGTAAATAATAAGACTCCATTAACCCTCTCACGCTTTTTCCTTGTGTGAAGTGAAACCTCTTCGTTTTCTGCCCATGCTTCTTGGTGTTCCTAGAGTTATAGTACATTCTTTTGTGCAAAAAGCTTTCAACAATGGGCCGCTGCAGTAATTAAAACTGTTGTAATTTTGGAGCTTTGAATGCTCTCTCTCTCTCTCTCATGTTTATTTTTTATTAACTTGATGGCTTATTTTGAATAACTGCTGTTTCTGATTTACAAGGTTTATCAGTTTTCTATTTCAGCCTATATTGTCCTTCTTCACAGATTATTCTGTTTTAAACAACTTGCAGTTTATCCACTTTTTTTTTGTTTCAAATAATTCATATTTTTCCACTTAAAATTGTCGTGGTTTAGGTGATGGATTTTTGTTTTTTAATTTTTATATAAACATACGTCTTTCTTTCTTTTTGTGGTGTTCTGCTGTCCATGTCTTTTTGAGGTTGTGTACTAAATTTGTTTGATTCATAGTTTGCAGAGTGTTGTATTTTTGTGCTCTTCTAAAATCAACCTTGGTGTTTATTAAGGATAAGGAAGATGATCTTAAAGTGGGTGTTAAATCGACGGCCTTGAGATTTGGGGATTCAACAAAGGAGTGGATCACTGGGTTTGGAACTGCATGCATTAGTAGTCTTGCCCTCTGTGGATTCAATGCGGATATTGGTATTTGCTTTTTATGCTTCTGATGTACAAGTTCCATTTACTTTAGTTTTGCCCATAGTAATCTGCATTTTCTTCTCCTTTTCCTTACAAAACACGAGCAGGGTGGTCATTTTATGCATTTCTGGCAGCTGCTTCGGGTCAATTAGCTTGGCAAATATGGACGGTTGACCTATCATGCCGGGCTGATTGCAATAGAAAGTATGTCTAAAGCTCATAAGAGTTTCATGATTTCACAAAGCATTATTTGTGCTTCAAATTATTCGTTTAACCACTTTCAAGCTTGTAATATGATCAACTCACTACTTCCTATTGGGTTTGTTTTCTTGCTGCAGATTTGTGTCAAACAAATGGTTTGGTGCCATTGTTTTTAGTGGCATTTTATTTGGTAGACTTTGGTCATAGAGGTATTGTCACTTTTCAGTAAAGCTGACAACATAATGTGGTTCTGAATTTGACCCTCTTAGGGTGTTCTTGCTTGACATCATCTTGATGATAAGGCAAACTCATAAAAGATGTGCCTTTTGTGGTAATTAAATCTCTTTCTCTCTATCTCTCTCCATGCTAGTCGAATACATTCTTTTGAATATTCAAATTAGAGCACTCTGTTGAAGCCAAAAAATCTACTATGCCACATTAATCCTTTTGATCAATAGAGATTCTTTTCTCAGTACAGTATAGGGAAGCAACTAATAATCGATAGCTGTTCTGCTTATATAAGCTATAATGTTCTTAGTAGAAGATCACTATCTTTATTTCTCTTCCCTTTTGTTTTATTATTTTTCTTTTGGCCATCGTTTTAGGCTGCTTGCAGGTTTATTAGTTTCCTCCACAATGTTTTGAATCTTGATGCTTATACCATCTCACGCTGATGAACTGCAGGACAGCTTTTGTTGCTTACATCTAGGAACTGAGCAATATGGCAGCGCTAGAAGTCAGAGGGGTGGGTTTAGATCCATTTTGTTCATTTGGTTTATAAAAACCATTAGGTAGGCATTCTTTGTTTTTAATTCATTTTCACTATTTGAGATTCAGTATTATAGTTAGAACGAGACAAATACATACAGCATTCTCTTTGGCCAGAAATGTTGTAAGCATCTCAACTTATTTTTGTTCGAATATGTTGATATTGAAGAGAAAAGCCTTAAGAGTTATTATTATTCATCGGGCTTCTGGTTCAGTCTTTTCCAACATGATGCTATTTCATATTTTTCCCAAGAAAAAGAGTTTTCTTGTTCTCGATTCTGCTTTTTTGCTTCTAAACTAGGACAAGCTAACTTTTGTTGATCGCAAATGTGATTCAAGGTTGAAGACTAAATGCAATTAATGAGTCGTCATTTATTATCAAGCATCAAATATGGTTGCTTGAAAAGCATTTATCTGATTGCTAGTAGTTGGCTTTGTTGTCGGCACTGCCTCTGGAGAAGTCTCTGACATCAAATTTCTACAACCTTGTTCATAGATTATAACTCAAGCAAATCTTCATGTAATCTCATGGAAGTAGACAGGTACTTGTATACTTGTTACCCTCTCACTTGGTCAATATTGTTGGAGCATAATACTACTGAAGACATTGGCAAGGATTACAAGAAACTTTGGAACGAGTTGTAGACAGCTGAAGATGGACATGCGCTTCAGCCTCTGCAACATGTATTATTGAACTAGTTAAATAAACTGTGGTTAATATTTTTTATAAAAATATTAAAAACAAATAAGATTTAAAAGTATTAGATTTTTTTACAAAGTTATATGTAAGAGTTTTAAATTTGACTGGAATACCGGATTTAAGAGTAATATTTATAATAACATTAAACTTGAAAAACTCAAGTTTAAGTGGGTCTGGCTGCAATACCAAACCCAATAGTCTTATATATGAGTTTAGCTGCAAAGTTGTGTCGTAAAAGTGTGATATTTAAATATATTAATTAAAATAAAAAATAAAGAAAAAAACTAACATGAAGAAAAAAACTAATGAAGAAAAAAAAATCTTAATTAACTGGGTTAACTCATTAAATCTTAGATCCTTGTCATGAAAGTCTGATAACTAAATAAAAAAAAAATTAATATCAACAAACTAAATAAAAAAAGTTAATTAAAAAGAAAAAAAAAACATCAACCTTTTCATCATGGATTGTCCACAATGAAAGACATAAAAAGAACCGAAAAAAACTAAAGACATTTGTCTTTTTACTATGGACTGTATATAATATTAAAAGATGAAATTGGAAGAACAAAAGTAATGAGAAAAAAGAAAAACAATATGAATCAATCAAGTTAATCGATCAAACTTGGGATCTGTGTCATGAAAATCTAATAATTAAATATAAAAAATTTAATATTAAGAAACTAAATTAAAAGAATAATTACAAAACAAAAAAAAAGAAAAAAAAAACAAAAAAACTAAAGATATTAGTTTTTTCACTGTGTATTGCACTGTGCAAGCCACAATAAAAGGCTTTAAAAGGAAAAGAAAAGAAAAAATAAAGGCATACATCATGGGTTGTATTTTTTTCTTACATAAAAAATATCAAAAAATGCTAAGATCTAAAAGTATATCTAAGAACCTTTGGTCTAGCTGTAATGCTTGACCCAAAAATAATATTTATAATAATACTAAACTTACATGACTCAAGTTTAAGTGAGTCTGGTTGCAACACCGAACCCAAGAGTTTTAGATATAGGTCTGACTACAAAGTCGTGTCATAAAAGTGTGATAATTAAATAAATTAATTAAAAAAACAATAAAAAGAAAAAAACTAATGAAAAAAAAAATGAATTAACTGGATTAACCCTTCAAACTAGGAGGTTTATCTCTTGAAATTATATATGTATATATATAAAATACTACCTTATCTAATTTAAGTTAAGAAGAACTTAACAGACACACAAGGTGATTTACAAGATCTAGCTATCGCATATATTTTTTTTAACAAAAAAAAGAAAAGAATATAAAGGCTTTTTCTAATAATAAATCTAAAAGGGAATTATTTGTGCTAGTAAATGTAAAGAAAAAAAATTGTCAATGATAACTAAAACTGAAATGAAAAAAAATGATATATAAATATAGATAAATATATTTGATATAGTAGTATGAGTTATTTAACCAATTATATTTAATAACATTGTTTATTTAAATTAATTTTTTATTTAATCAAACGATAATAAATATAGATACATAAATTATTAAATAAAATAAAATAAAAAATATTATGCAGGATTGTATATATTAGAAAAAAAATATTATCATTTTATGTAAAATTCAAGTAAAAAATAAATAATATTTAATCAAAATTAAATTGAAAAGATGAAAGATATATATTGATGTAGATATTTGATATTCAAACCCAGACTATAGACTTAATTGGATATAATAATTTTACTTCGGGGAACTCATGTTTTATTTAATATTTTTTTAAAAACTTAAATAGGGCTACACACAAAAAAATACCTCCTAATATAAAAAAATGTTAAGAATTTATTCATAAATTAAGTAAAATTAAATCATATTCTTATATAAAAAAGCATCATAATTTTTTTAAATTAAAAAAATAAATAGAGAATTAAAAATTAAATAATAAAAATAAAATAAAAATTTTAGAAAAAATATCAAAGCAAGAGGGACTTTCAATCTAGGGCCATGTGCCTAGGTTGATTTTTTTCCCCTTAAAAAAGGGATGAAACAACTTCTTTTTCTATTTTTTTTTCTTTTATAAAAAACATGTAATGTGTTTTATGTCATGTCATGTTAGATGATATATTGCTCATTCTAGTTCCAAGCAAATGGAGGGTTGTTGAAAATTGGGGTTATGATTTTTATGGAAAAAAACTTAATTTTCAACTTTTTTTTAACTTACAATATCTAAAAAATATTTTATATACCTCAATAAAGTGACAAACTTATAAATAACTTCAAATAACCCAAATAACAACAATAGGCCTAAAATTTAAAATAAAATTTATCAAATAAATATCTATCATTTCATCTATATGAATGATAAAAAACACTTAAATGAGATTTTTTTTTTTTATCAAATGAAACCTATTAAAATTAATAATAATTTTTTTTATGACTAGAATTGATGTTAATCAAGGTTTTTTTTTTTTTTTAAATACCAGAATTCAATAATTTTTTTTTCTCAAACTAAAAACCGAAAAATAAAAAACATATAGCTACGAAACAAATACCTTTATACTTCGATACACTAACATTTCTTTAAATACATTCTCTTGACCACCCGGACCAAGTATTTAACCATGATAATACGAAGCTCCCTGCTTCTGTCTTCCCAGAGATTTTCTTCATCCTGAGAGCACGCATTAACTCGTGCAGTTCAATGTAAAAAGACCGTAACACGCTTTACAATTGTTACTTGCCAAACACAGGCTTTCAAAACAATATTAAAAACTTATTAGAAAATATAATTATGATTGGTTTTTAAATAATTTTTTATATTAAAATATATTAATAATGTTTTTTATTTTAAAATATATTAATAATGTTTTTTATTTTAAAAAAATTATTTTTAACATCATCATATCAAAATAATTTAAAAATACTAAAAATATATTAATTTTAAATAAATTTTACACTTTTAAAAGACATTCTCATTAACCTCCTATTTTTAGATGATATGCCCAATAAATCTCTAGTTTGGTATATTATTTTTTTCTCTTTTTTTTTTTCTCCCTCTCATCTTGACTTTCACTCTTTTTCCCTTTATATTTTCAAATCAACTCTTTAATTTATTTATTTAAATTTTATTTTTAATCTTTTAATTATTATTTATTTTATTTAAAATAATTTATCAAATTTATTTATTTTTAATTTCATCATTCTTTAAATTTTTATTTTATAAGATTTAGTTTATATTCTTTTTATTGTTATTTTTTATCTAAAATAATTTTTAAAATTAATTTTTTTTTTTTATGATTTCATCATTCTTTATTTTTTTTCTATTAAATTTTTCCTTTATTAGTTTGATTGTTTTTTTTGGAAAGTTTTTTAAATTGTTTTAGTATTAAATTGGTTGGGATTAATCTTTTTGATTAAATCTGAATCTAATATTTCACATGTTACGACTTTAAAAAATTAACTCAAGTTCTGGAGATTCACCTCAATTTCCTTGTTTTTCCTCCCTTTTTATGCTCATGTTTTTCATATTTTATTTTTTAATGTTTATTTAATTAGATATCAATATCTTTTTTTTTCTCTCTAAATGATTTTTTTTACAGATTTTAAACGTGACTCGGATTATCTTAATTTTTTTTATTTGTTATTTGTTGTTAAATTTACTTTTTTTAATAAAAATTTTATTTTTAAATTAAATTAAATTATTTAGATATTAATATAAAATATTTATTTCATAATATTTTATTTGGTTTATTTTTCAAGTCATTACTCTTACCACACATACAACCCATTTTGATTTTATTATGCAGCTTTTTACAGTGGAAGCATCTAATATCTGATTGCTAGCTTTCGAGGTGCTTCCCTGTGAAGGAGTTTCTGATAGCAATGTTCAACCCCTCGTCAACATGAAAGGTTTTTCTTCTGGGAAAATTGTGTTAAGCGACAAGCCACAGCCATAATTTATTGCATGCATTGAAAATGGTTGAATAATTGACAAGTGATATTATAGCATGGCATGTTTAAATTTAAGATTACTTGACGCATGACCCATTGATGAAAGAATTTGAATTTATAGTTAATAGGTTTGGTATATTGGTCATTTATTACATTCTTATGAACAATTTTATTACAATTATAGTTATAATAAAAATATTTTAAAATAAAAAAAATAAAAATAAAAATTTTAAAAAACAAAAGACGCTGACTGAGTCTTCACGAACTCAAACACAAGCTTGAGCTCATCCCTTTCTTCATTGTTTTGAGTAGTTAGTGTATTATTGGATTAATTCAAGAAGTTAATTGTAAAACTTTAGAGAAGTACAATCTCTCAATCATAATTATACTACTGGCAGAGTTACACGTATACATGAACTAGAATAAATTTCTAATATATTTGATTCTGTTATTGATTATAAAAAAAATAAATAATAATTACATGATCATCTAAACTAGATAATAAACATAACATATATAAGATAATATAATTACTACAGAATATTGAATATTATTTTTTGATATTGCAGTATCTACTCCATTAATTTTTAATATTTATAATATCTACACCATTAATTTTCAATATCTATAATATCTGAAAAACTTATACTATAATTTTCGAGACTCTCTCTTAATATGGATCCAGTAGATTAATTGTTTCAAGCTTATTGAACAAATAATAAAACTGACTAGATGACATGATTTTTCTAAACACATCAGCAAGTTAGTCATGGATGTGCATATAGGATGTTTGAATAAATTTAGTATGTGCATATGGATGTGACTGTAATGACAATTTACTTTGAAATATTTTGTGTTTTCATGAAACACTGAATTAGTGACAATATGAATGATAGAGACAATATAAATGATAGAGTTACAAGTATATATAGATTAGAATCAATTCTTAACATGGCAGCTAATATATTTGATTATGTCCTTAATTATAAAAAAAAATAAATACAAATTATATAATCATTTAAATGAGGTAATAGACATAACATAAGGTAATATAATTACTACAGGATCTTGAATATTATCTTTTAATATGTAATATCTTCTCCATTAATCTTTAGTATATGTAATATTTATACCTTTAATCTTCAGTATCTGCTGCAAGAATTTACAACTTATTCTATAATCTCAAGATTAAATCCATCTTCTTCTATCATGGAGGCGGAATTGAAGCCTCCAAAGACGTCGTATTGAGCATAATGGTCCTTGTAAATTTACATTTACTATTGAACTTCTCTATTCTTCTGTAGGTATGATCTAGTAAGCCTCCAAACGTTGTTGCTTGGCTCCCTAACCACAAGTCCCTGCTATATCATTATTTGACTGGGCATTAGACAAATCATCTAAATTTAGTAGAGCACAACTGTAACAATCCAAACTTAGGGAGACAACCCATTTATCTCTTTGACAGAGAGTGGTCTTAAGTAGATTCCAGCCAGTCAACAATTTATATTCCTCCATACTATATATAGCATCTCAGCTTACGTAATGAATTGAAGAACAGCTGTTTTGAATAATCACCGCTTAACAAGATTATTGAATCTTAACCCTTCAACAAGGCCATGTATGTTTAGCACCAATTTGTGCACAACGACTGAGGCAGGACAGCTGCGCGCATGAGGGTCTATACCATTCCTGTTCTTAACAACAAGGACCTCCCTGTTCTTAACAACGAGGGACTCGTAGGATCCATATTGCACTTAAAACTCTCTGGACCTCAGGAAAGTTTCGACTTAAAATAGCTGTGTTTACTATTTCCGTTTTATGTGCAACAACTTCAAGCTTTCGGGATCTCTTGGGATTCTATTGCTTATAAATATCTCGATCAGGCCTAAAAACTCCAACACTTGTATGAGAGATAAGAAGGGAGAAAAAAGTGAGAAGAGGAGAGGGGGAGAGATAACGTAATTTATATCTCTATACAAAGAGAGAACACAAGGAGTTTGCACTTTGTATAGAGATATTATCCTTGGAAGGAAACGATGGAGAGAAGGAGGAGTGGCGGAGATCATGGAGAGAATTACAGAAACCCTTTTGATGGAGGAGAAGACCAGGTCTCTTCCGCTGATGAGAAAGAGGAGGTTATGGTTGAAGAGGGATTCAAGGACACAGAAGTTCCCCCATGGGCGAAGCAAATTACTTTGAGGGCCATGTTAACAAGCCTGGTTTTGAGTATTGTGTTCAACTTCATTGTTTGCAAGCTTAATCTCACAACTGGTGTGATCCCTTCACTTAATGTTGCGGCCGGCTTGTTGGGTTTTGCCATCCTTAAATTCTGGACTTCATTGCTTGGAAAAGCTGGATTCTTGAAGCAGCCTTTCACTAGACAAGAAAATACCGTGGTGCAAACATGCGTGGTTGCCTCTTCTGGCATTGCATTCAGCAGTATGTTTCTACGTGCCCTTCTGTTATTTATTTGTTTCTTGCTGTGTTTTTTTTTCCCATCATCTTTCATCGTAGATCACATTAGATTCTATCACTTTTGACCAAGTATCACCTTCCTCGTTCACTAACAGCACGTTTGGAACCGAATCTTTGATAAAAATAAACAAATAAAATCAGGCCTTGGAGTTCCAAACACCTATAAATCAATGGTGATTTCGGATTGTGATGATAAACATTAAATGCTGCATGATTGTTTGTGGACAATGAATGTAAATGTTGGATCTTTTAGTCGTTCCTTCATTGATTTAGATCTTGTTGGGATTTTTGTGGACCAAAACTTGAAACAAATCTCATTCCATTTAAATCTTTAATTATTGCTTTCTTCTTGATATTAGGATTATGAAAAGCAGTGACTACCAATAAAAAAGAATCCTAGAGAATGATTTTCATAAAGTTCCAATGTATTCCATCTTGTTCTTTCAGTTCTAATTTTGATCAATTCTCTCTAATTTTGTGGCATAATAACTGTTAGGTGGGACTGCAAGTTACTTGCTTGGTATGACACCAAGGATAGCTAATCAATCAGAAGGAGGGAATACACCTGCAAACATGAAAGAACTCCATCTTGGTTGGATGATTGGATTTCTGTTTGCTGTGAGCTTTGTTGGCCTGTTCTCTATTGTGCCTCTGAGGAAGGTAACGATTAAATACAGTAAATTATGGTTTGTTTTTTAAATAGTATTTATTTTCTTTTTATTATTCATCTGATATTCTTAAATTAATCTTGCAGCTGATGATCTTGAAGTACAAGCTAACATATCCTAGTGGAACAGCCACTGCATACCTTATCAACAGCTTTCACACACCTAAAGGAGCCAAGCTAGCAAAGTAAGCATTATTGAGTGGTGAGATGGGGAAGGAGAGGTTGTGAATTCTATGGTATTATGTCGGTGATTGCTAACATTTTCTGATGCATGTACAGGAAGCAAGTTTCTGTCCTGTTCAAATATTTCGCCGGCAGCTTTTTGTGGGCCGGTTTCCAGTGGTTTTGGACTGCTGCAGATGGATGTGGATTCGCTAGCTTCCCCACTTTTGGACCCCAAGCCTTCGCTCGCAGGTAGGTCTTTCAGGATCACTATTGCATCTTCGGTTCTGCGCAACAAATTGTGGGTGATTTCTTCATGATCCTTTATACCGACAAGTTAAAATTTGTCGAACAGGTTCTACTTTGATTTCTCAGCAACATATGTTGGTGTTGGAATGATCTGTCCTTACATGGTGAACATTTCCTTGCTTCTTGGAGCCATCCTATCATGGGGAATCCTGTGGCCAATTATTGAGACTAAGAAAGGTGACTGGTATAGCGCTGACGAAAAACCGTCAAGTCTCCATGGAATCCAGGGATACAGGGTATTCTTCCTTAATTCAAGCTGTTATTCTGCTATGGTCATTTTCTAGTTGGGCTATCGTGTTTCAGAAATTTTTAATCCTGTCATTCGTTTTTTCAGGTTTTTATGGCTATTGCCACAATGTTGGGCGACGGTCTTTTCCATGTCATCTTCATGCTTTCCAAAACCACAATTAGTCTAATAACTAATATCAAGAAGAAAGACTCTGAGGTTCCTGATTTTGGTGATGATGAGAACTCTAAGCTTGTGAAGTATGACGAAAAGCGTAGAACGGAATTCTTTTTAAAAGACCAGATCCCAAATTGGGTAGCTGGAGGTGGCTACATCCTTCTAGCAATCGTTTCTATCATTGCAGTGCCACATATCTTTCCTCAATTGAAATGGTACCAAATTCTGGTTGCTTATGTGATTGCCCCAGTTTTAGCCTTCTGCAATGCCTACGGATGCGGTCTTACAGATTGGTCTCTTGCATCCAACTACGGCAAATTTGCCATCATCATCTTTAGTGCTTGGGTTGGCCTCCCGAATGGTGGTATCATTGCTGGTCTTGCTTCTTGTGGTGTGATGATGAGCATTGTCTCAACAGCATCTGATCTTATGCAAGACTTCAAGACAGGATACCTCACCCTCTCGTCTCCTCGCTCTATGTTCTTCAGTCAAGTCATAGGCACCGCCATGGGTTGTGTTTTAACCCCATTAGTATTCTGGGTCTTCTATCAGGCGTACCCTGTCGGTGAGGAAGGTAGCGCCTACCCTGCACCTTATGGTGGAGTCTATCGTGGGATTGCCATGCTTGGTACTGAAGGTGTTTCTTCCCTCCCCAAGAATTGCTTTAAATTCTCCATCATATTCTTCATCGCCGCCATGGTTATTAACCTTGTGACCGAGTTGTTAAGGAAATACGAAACCAAGTACAGAATCTACAGGTTCATTCCTAGCCCAATGTGCCTGGCAATTCCATTCTATCTTGGTGGCTACTTTGCCATTGACATGTGTGTTGGGAGTTTGATTCTCTTCCTCTTGGAGTTAAGTAACAAGCAAAAAGCCAGTGACTTTGGCCCGGCTGTCGCATCTGGCCTCATTTGTGGCGAGTCTTTGTGGGGTATCCCTGCGGCCATTCTTGCTCTTTCCGGTGTCAGTCCTCCAATGTGCATCAAGTTCCTAACAGCTGCTGTTAATGACAAGGTTGACGGCTTCTTGAGTGGTTAATGGCGATGTTAAAAACGGGTGTTTATGATCATATTTCGAGTCTGCAGGATCCTTTTCACTTGTTGTAAATATTTCAGCAGCAGCTTTTTTCTTCTTTATTTTATCACCCTTTCTGTAGTTACAGCTCCTTTCTAAATTAGACAGATGTTCTTCAGTTTTCAGTTTTCACAGGTGCTTTCAGTTTTCAGTTTCATATGTGCTAGCTGCCTCAAATTTAAATCATGTTGTAACCTTTCTTTTCCATTATTTGAAATTAGATTTGTATTTTTAAGTGAAATATTAAGCATTGCTTCCTTGTTCGATGGTACTAGAATTCTAACGAATAGAATATAATTAAATTCCAAAAGAAAAATAAGATATGAAATTTACCACTAGGTATTCTATTATTGCTCTCAAAAAATAATATGACTTCTTTTAACTTGAAGTTCAAATTTAATTCGTATTTAATTAAAAAAATTATCTCTTAAATAATATTATTTTTATTCTTCAAGGTAAAAAATAATTTTTTTAAAAAAATTATTTAGCCTTTAGTTATCCTTGTAATTTTAAGATACCTAACTTGTAATTTAACCTTATATTTATTCTTCAAAATAATTATTTAGGGTTGTTGGTTTGGTTTATTTCTAGGATTAACATAAATAATTTGAGGATTCTTATTTATATTTAAAATATAATATTTGAGAGTATTGTAATAGTTGCGGTTAAAATATTTTTTTTAAAAAAAATTATTTTTGATATTATAATCTGAAAATTTATATAAAAAATTAATTTTAAATAAAAAATCTAAACTTTTATAAAATAAAATTTTCATCGAATTTCCAAACCCATATCCTAGAACATTAATTGACCCGGATTCCATGTACTTCGTATCGGAACATGTCTCTTGCTGGGCTGCAATTTGCTAAGCCTAGCAAGCTCAACCGAGGCTGAAGAAGTAAAAGGCATTCCACGCTAACGCAGGGAAGAAGAAAAACTAAGACTAGCAATAGGCCCAACAGGACCAGCCAGTTAGCCAGGTCTAACTAGACCCGCCAGCCAGCCAGGCTTAGGCCATATGGCACGATCAATTCCAAGGGTTAGTAACTCAAACAGAGAGAGGAGGAGGAGAACCCTCGTCCCAACCGCACCCCAGAGCCCTAATCGGACCCCAGGCTCCAATATTGCTAGGGTTTTGATAAACTCTAGCTAAAAGGATCAATGTATTAATTTTTAAGGTATAATTTGATACAAGAATTTTCAAGCTTCATTAAAAAAAAAAGTGTAATATAGGAGAGAAGAAATGGTTTTGACAATGGCAGCATAGCACACAACACCCCCGGAGTTGCTAGTGATAATTGAAAACTATGAACAAATATCACTTTGATCCCTTGAGTTT